GTCCCCCATCCACGCTTACCCCACACACATGTCCAGCAGACTCTGCTCCAGACCTGTGACAGAGCGGGGTGAGGGTGGGTGGGCTGGTGGGGTTACCCTGGTGAGCCCCCAGCCCGCTCCCCCTGAGCCCCTCACTCACCAGGGATGACTTGGTGCTTGCCCAGCTCCACCTGCAGGGGGTCCCGGCTCAGTGAGGAGTCGATGATCCGGCCATCCTCCAGGCTGCCCTGTGGGGGGCACGGCCGCGGTCACTGCCACGGGCACCCTTGGGTGGCACCTTCTCCATGTGGCTGCCAGCGTGTTCCCAGTGCTGCTCTGGTGCTGATCCCAGTCCCTGCGGCCTCCCTGTGCCATCCCTGTGCTGATCCCAGTCCCTGTGCCATCCCTGTGCTGATCCCAATCCCTGTGCCACCCTTGTGCCATCCCTGTGCTGATCCCAATCCCTGTGCCATCCCTGTGCCATCCCTGTGCTGATCCCAGTCCCTGTGCCATCCCTGTGCTGATCCCAGTTCTCCTCTGTGCCACCCCTGTGCTGATCCCAGTCCCTGTGCCACCCTTGTGCCATCCCACTCACCAGGGATGACTTGGTGCTTGCCCAGCTCCACCTGCAGGGGGTCCCGGCTCAGTGAGGAGTCGATGATCCGGCCATCCTCCAGGCTGCCCTGTGGGGGGCACGGCCGCGGTCACTGCCACGGGCACCCTTGGGTGGCACCTTCTCCATGTGGCTGCCAGCGTGTTCCCAGTGCTGCTGTGGTGCTGATCCCAGTCCCTGCGGCCTCCCTGTGCCATCCCTGTGCTGATCCCAGTCCCTGTGCCATCCCTGTGCTGATCCCAATCCCTGTGCCACCCTTGTGCCATCCCTGTGCTCAGGGTGGGTGGGCTGGTGGGGTTACCCTGGTGAGCCCCCAGCCCGCTCCCCCTGAGCCCCTCACTCACCAGGGATGACTTGGTGCTTGCCCAGCTCCACCTGCAGGGGGTCCCGGCTCAGTGAGGAGTCGATGATCCGGCCATCCTCCAGGCTGCCCTGTGGGGGGCACGGCCGCGGTCACTGCCACGGGCACCCTTGGGTGGCACCTTCTCCATGTGGCTGCCAGCGTGTTCCCAGTGCTGCTGTGGTGCTGATCCCAGTCCCTGCGTGTTCCCAGTGCCATCCCTGTGCTGATCCCAGTCCCTGCGGCCTCCCTGTGCCATCCCTGTGCTGATCCCAGTCCCTGTGCCATCCCTGTGCTGATCCCAATCCCTGTGCCACCCTTGTGCCATCCCTGTGCTGATCCCAGTCCCTGTGCCACCCCTGATCCCAATCCCTGTGCCACCCCTGTGCTGATCCCAGTCCTTGTGCCATCCCTGTGTTGATCCCAGTCCTTGTGCCATCCGTGTGCCATCCCTGTGCTGATCCCAGTCCCTGTGCCACCCCTGATCCCAATCCCTGTGCCATCCCTGTGTTGATCCCAGTCCCTGCAGCCCCCCTGTGCCATCCCTGTGCTGATCCCAGTTCTCCTCTGTGCCACCCCTGTGCTGATCCCAGTCCTTGTGCCATCCGTGTGCCATCCCTGTGCTGATCCCAATCCCTGTGCCACCCCTGATCCCAGTCCCGGTACACTCCGTGCCACCCTGGGACATTGTCCCCCACTCTCAGTCCCTGTGCCATCCCAAGTTAATCCTCAGGCTGATCCCAGAGCCAGCCATGCCCATCCTGGCGTTGTCCCAGCCCCAGTGTCACCCCTGCGCCACTCCAGGTGCCACCCAGAGCCCATCCTGGACCTGTCCCCATGCCAGTCTCACTGGCACCATCCCCTCATCCAGCCCCCGTGCCCACCCCGCCACCACCCCTACGCTCACTCCGCTTCCACCCCGGTACCGCCCCATTTCCCAGCCTGGTACCACCCCCGGTACCGCCCCGGTGCCGGTGCCGGTGCCGGTGCCCGTGCCCCGCCCGCCGCAGCGCAGTGCTGACGTGTTCCTCCCGCCGCGCACCGTGTAGTGGATGTGCACCGTGTCCCCCGGCGCCGACAGCTCCGTGCAGCCCTCGGGGGGTCCCACCTGCAACGGGGAGTCACGGGGAGCCGGGACGGGACCCCCTCCCCTCGGGCTCCGCGCAGCCCCCGCGCCCACGGGACCCCCGAGCGCGCCCCGAGAGCCGAACTCCAACCGGGGCCCCCCCGTCCTCGCTGCGCCGCCTTCTTCCGCCACAGCCCGGTCCTCCCGCCGCCCTGCCATCGCAGCCCGCTCCTCCCGGTGCCCCGTGGCTCCCCCCCGCCGCAGCCCGGGCCTCCCGGTGCTTCCTCCCGCCCCGTGCCCAGGCCGGGCTCCCCGGTGCCCCCCGAGCGGCACCATCCCGCCGGTGCCCCGAGTCCCGCCGGTCCCGTCCCGGTCTCAGCTGCCTGCCCAACGGGGCCGCGTGGCTCCCCGGTGCCCGGTGCCTCCCGCGCAGCCCCGGTTCCCCCGTTTCCCCCGCGCTCACGATGGTTTCCAGCCGTAGCTCCCGGGCGCCGGTTTCGGTTTCGCTCTCGGCGGCGCGGGAGAGCGGCGGCGGCGGCAGCAGCAGTGCCAAGAAGAGCAGCGCGGCGGGGAACGGCATGGCCGGGCCGGCGGCGGAGGAACGGGCACCGGGACCGGGACCGCCCCCCACCTCGGGCCCCGCCCTCGGGACCGCCCCCGCACCGAGACCGGCCCCGGGACGGGCACCGGCGTCTCCTCCGGGCCCCCGCGGATGCTCAGCACCCGCCGCTGCCTCGGTGCCCGGTGCCACGCGGGCTCTGCGCTCCGTGGGGACCCCGGTGGGCACCGGAGTCCGCCCCTGCCCGGGACCGTCCCGGTGGCTTCGGCCCACACCGAGCGGGGGTTCCCGGTGAGGGTCGGGGGTGTGAAACGGAGGGTCCGGGCGGGGGTCCGGGCCGGGGGTCGCGTCCCAGGCTCCGGTTGGGTGCAGCCCCCGGAGTCCTGGCGCCGCCGGTGCCGGCAGGCGGCAGCACAGCCCGGGGAAACCGGCACCCACCGGGGACCGGGACCCCTCCCCGGGTCCAGAACCCTCCTGCAGCCCCCCGCGGGTCCAGCTCATTCCTTCTCCTCGCACCTCTGCGGCTCTTCCAGCCCCGGCAGCGCAGGACGAGGCAAACCGAGCCCCGAGCCCGGGCTGGGGTCCCGCGGGCCGGCTGGAGCCCGGTGGGACCGAACCCATCCCTGGGGACACCCAGCCCTTAGGGCAGAGCTGGGAACACAGGGAATCCCCCCGGTCCGGCGGGGTCACACCCGGGATTTCCCACCCCGTGCCCGCGGGGATGGCCCCGTCGGTGTCCCCGGTGCCGCTCCGGGACGGTGACGGCGTTGAGGCCGGGTGCAGCTCCCGGACGACGGCATCGGCACGCCGGCCCCACCGGCGCACCCACATACCAGCCTCGGTTGCCGAGAGGTGGGGAAGCCGGGCTGGCGGCTGGGCCCGGGCCGCTAATGGGATTAGGGGCGCCGGGTCAGCCCCCACCACACAAAGCCGTCGGTCCGGCCGGTGGGAACGCGTCGGTGCCGGCCCCGCTGCTCCCGCCCACCGGGGAGCCCCGGGCAGCCACAGTGAGCCCCGCGATGGAGCTCCCAGAGCCCCCCGGCCATCCCCACTGCGGCTCCTCCATGTCACATCCATGGTCCCCAGGTCACTGTGGGACACGGGTCACCTGCACTGGAGCACCCCATGTCATCTTCATGGCCCCCAAACCACTGTGGGACACGTGTCACCTGCATTAGAGCACCCCTCATGTCACCTCTGTGGCCCCCAACCCACTGTGGGGTACGGGTCACCCACACTGGAGCACCCCCATGGCCCCCATCTCACTGGGGGACATGTGTCACCTGCACTGGAGCACCCCCATGTCATCTTCATGGCCCCCCAACCCACTGTGGGACATGTGTCACCTGTACTGGAGCTCCCCCATGTCACCTCCACAGCCTCCAACCCACTGGGGAGCCCTGGTCACCTGCATTGGGGCACCCCCATGTCACCTCCACAGCCTCCAACCCACTGGGGAGCCCTGGTCACCTGCACTGGGGCACCCCCATGTCACCTCCGTGGCCCCCAACCCACTGTGGGACATGTGTCACCTGCACTGGAGCTCCCCCATGTCACCCTCATGGCCCCCAACTTACTGTGGGACATGTGTCACCTGCACTGGAGCTCCCCCATGTCACCTCCATGGCCCCCAACCCACTGTGGGACATCTGTCACCTGCACTGGAGCTCCCCACGTCACCTCCATGGCCCCCAACCCAGTAGGGAGCCCTGGTCACCTGCGCTGGAGCACCCCCATGTCACCTCCACAGCCCCCAAACCACTGGGGAGCCCTGGTCACCCCATTCTGGGCCCTGGCGCTGGCTCTGGTCACCCCATTTTGGGGTGCTGGGTCCTGGTCACCCCATTCTGGGCCCTGGCGCTGGCTCTGCAGCTCCCGGCCACCAGGGAGCCCCCACCACAGCCCCCCAGTGTCACAGACACGGCCGAGAGCCCCCCAGCCACCAGTCCAGAGGACACGGCGATGGGATGGCAGTGCCAGCCCCAAATGCCACTCAGTCCCCCTTAACCCCTGCGGGGGGGTGACATGGGGAGGGGTGGCAGGGGGGGGCCGAGTCCCACTCGCGCCCATCCCAGCGCTGGCACCGTCCCCACGCCCCAGCTGGGATTAGCACTAATGGGATTTACCATTTCATCCAATATTCCCCTAAAGATGAGCCTGGGAAGGAGGGGGGGGCCCCCTCGCCCCCTGCCAGCCCCACCTCACACCCCCCACCCCCCCTCCCCGTTACGCTCTTTCTAATTAAAGCCAGCCCAGGGCTGTCCATCACCGTCCCCTCCGCGGGACCCCCACGCTGGGGGGGGTGGGGGGCTGTGGAAGAAGAGACGAGGGGCAGAGCTACATAAAACATGTTTAATATCCAAGGGGGGGGTCAGGGGAGGTCACCCACCGTCTCAGGCGCAGGGGGGCCGGGCAGGGCGTGGGGGGGGGACACTGTCCGTCCGTGAGGGGCAGGGACATACAATCACTATGCTGGCATGGGGGGGGAGGGGGCAGGTGGCCAGGGCGAGGAGGGGGGCACGGCCAGGGGGACCACAGAGGTGCTGGCAGCCTTGTGTTGTCCCCCCCCACCTCTGCGAGGGTCACGCTGCGGGAAGGAGACCTGCCTCGAAGTGACATGGGGGGGCTGGGGACGTGTGGAATGCCCTGGGGGGGGCCACACGGGGCCGGGAGGGGGGTGCTGAGAGGGAGGGGGAGGTGTATAGTCCCAAATCCCCCCCACGGCCCTGCTGCCCCCACATTTGGTCCAGAGGAAGGCGAGGGGTGCAGGGACATGCATGGGGACGGGGTGTCCCCGGCCCCCCCAGGCAGGGCAGTGCTGAGGTGGCCCCCCTCCCCCCCAGCCCCCAGCCCACCCTCCCGGGGCTCTGCCCCTGCCCCCCTGGGCGTTATATAGAGCTCTAATTCCACGCACGCACACACGAGATCCGAGGGGAACCAGGGGGACCCCAAAAAAAGGCGAGAAAACCCCACAGCAACCGGTGCCAGAAGAAAGCAAAACCCAACCGGGGCAGGGAGGGGGCGGCCGGGGGGGGCCCTGGCACGGCCCAGGGGGGCACAGGGGGGGACCCCCCTCACTTCTTGTTCTTGAGCTGGTTGGCGAGCCAGTCGAGGCCCTCGTAGAGCCCATCCCCGCTGGTGGCACAGGTGGCCTGGATGTACCAGTTACGGTGGCGCAGGGAGTGCAGCCCCAGCTTGTCCGTGATCTCCGCTGCGTTCATGGCGTTGGGCAGGTCCTGCAGCACACAAGGCAGGTCACACAGGTGACACACAACCCCTCCACGGGGGCTGGCACCAGCCCTGATGCCATGGGGGTGGGCACAACTCTGCCACAGGGCACCATCATCAGCCCTGATGCGACAGGAAGGAGTGGAAATGGGACACGGGGAGGTGACACTCCAGCCCTGACACCACAGGGGTGGCCAGAGTGTGTTAAAGACCAGCCCTGGTGCCATGGGGATGGCCCTGGGGCCACCACCATCCCTGGTGCCCACCACCATCCCTGGTGCCACCGGGATGACCCTGGGGCCACCACAATCCTTCGTGTCACAGGGATGGCCCTGAGGGCCACCACCATCCCTGGTGTCACAGGGATGGCTCCAGGGGCCATGACCATCCCTGGTGCCATGGGATTGGTTCCAGGGGCCATCACAATACCTGGTGTGATGGGGATGACCCTAGGGCCACCACCATCCCTGGTGCCACTGGGATGACCCTGAGAGCCACCACCATCCTTGGTGTCACAGCGATGACTCCAGGGCCACCACCATCCACGGTGGCATGGGATTGGTTCCAGGGGCCACCACCATCCCTGGTGCCATGGGACTGGTCCCAGGGGCCACCACAATCCCTGGTGCCACGGGGATGGCCCTGATGGGATTGGTTCCAGGGGCCACCACCATCCCTGGTGCCACGGGGATGACCCTGGTGCCACCACAATCCTTCGTGTCACAGGGATGGCCCTGAGGGCCACCACCATCCCTGGCGCCACGGGGATGGCTCCAGGGCCACCATCATCCCTGGTGTCATGGGGATAGCCCTGAGGCCACCACTATTCCAGGTGTCACAGCGATGACTCCAGGGCCACCACCATCCCTGGTGCCATGGGACTGGTCCCAGGGGCCACCACAATCCCTGGTGTGACAGGGATGGCCCTGGGGCCACCACAATCCTTCGTGTCACGGGGATGGCCCTGAGAGCCACCACCATCCCTGGTGCCACTGGGATGGCTCTGGGGGCCACAATCATCCCTGGGTTCATGGGGATGGCTCTAGGGCCACGACCATCCCTGGTGTCACAGCGATGGCCCTGAGGGCCACCACAACCTCTGGTGTCCTGAGGATGGCCCTGGAGCCCACCACCATCCCTGGTGTCACTGGGATGGCTCCAGGGCCACCACCATCCCTGGTGCCATGGGACTGGTCCCAGGGGCCACCACAATCCCTGGTGTCCTGGAGATGGCCCTGGGGCCACCACCATCCCTGGTGCCAGTGGGATGACCCTGGTGCCCAGCACCATCCCTGGTGTGATGGGAATGACCCTGGTGCCCAGCACCATCCCTGGTGCCACAAGCACAGACGTGCCTCTGTCACACAGCCACTCCAACACCAGCCTTGATGCCACAGCGAGCCCTACCCCAGCCAGCTGCCCTGACACCGGGGGATGTCTCAGCCCCCCACGAGGCTCTCCCCACCCCCAGACCCACCTGCTTGTTGGCGAAGACGAGGAGCACGGCGTCCCTCAGCTCATCCTCCGCCAGCATCCGCATCAGCTCCTCCCGCGCCTCGTTCACCCGCTCCCGGTCGTTGCTGTCCACCACGAAGATCAGCCCTGGAGGGAGCAGCGGGCACCGTCAGGGCTCCCTGGTGCCACCCCGAGTGCCCCCACGCCGTCCCCTCGGACACCTACCCTGGGTGTTTTGGAAGTAATGCCTCCAGAGGGGCCGGATCTTGTCCTGCCCACCCACGTCCCACACGGTGAAGCTGATGTTCTTGTACTCCACTGTCTCGACGTTGAACCCTGCGGGGAGCGACAGCGGAGGGAAACTGAGGCACGCGGAGCCACCAGCCCCTTCAAAGGAGCCCAGATGGGCAGCGGGCTCTGCTTAGTGGCCCCGCAACCCCACCCACCGATGGTGGGGATGGTGGTGACGATCTCCCCCAGTTTGAGCTTGTAGAGGATGGTGGTCTTCCCAGCAGCGTCCAGCCCCACCATCAGGATCCGCATCTCCTTCTTCCCAATCAGGCTCTTCAGCAGGTTCCCGAAGATGTTGCCCATGGTGACGGCGGCGCTGGCTCTGAGGCCGGATCCTGCGGGGGCATGGGGCAGGCTGGGGGAGGCCCTGAAATCTGCAGGGGTGGAGCTGAGGGGTCCCCCGTGCTTGGTGGTGGGGGGGGTCTGCAGGAATTGGGGATGTCCTGGGGGGATGCAGGGCTTGGGGGACCCCCGGCAAGGGGCTGGGGAGGGGGCCACGCACTGCACGGGGGTGTCTGTGCGTGCAGCTCGGTTTGGCTGCAAAGATGGGGATGCTGCACCCCTGCAAAAGGACAGCCCAGGGCGCTGCGCTGGGGGAAACTGAGGCACGGTTGTCGCCCTCCTCGAGGGCAGCAGAGCCCCCGGATCCAACCCCTCCTCCGCACCATGCCCCCATCACCGCAGCCTCGCCGGAGGGGGAGGTCCCCATCGCCCCCCCCCCCGCACCGCAGCGCGCCCCTTCCCCCGCAGCGTGCGCAGCCCCCGCGCCCCCGCCCCCCCCCCCACCGGTCCCCCCCCCCCCCCCCCCCCCCCCCCCCCCCCCCCCCCCCCCCCCCCCCCCCCCCCCCCCCCCCCCACCGGGACCGGGGGCGCGCGCGGGGAACGGCGGGGGGGGGCAATGGCGAGAACCGCGGGGCGTTACCATGGCAACGGCTGCAGCAGTGCGGGGGGGGCGCTCTGAGGGGGAGTCCCCGTGTCCCCCCCGCCATCAGCCCGGTTCTGGCGGCACCGGGACCGGCAGAGCCCCGACCGAAGGGGAGCCGCACCGGCGGGGCGGGGTGGGAGCGTGGGGAGAGCGGGGTCCCGGGTTTTCCGCCCCCGCCATGAGCACCGGGGAGGCAGAGTCCCGACCGGGGGGGGTCCCTGTGCTTCACGGGGAACGGGGACCCCCGCACCGTCACGGGGGGACAGGCTGAGCACCCCCGCACCGTGCCGGTATCGTCGGTACGGAGGATACCCCGGTGTTCGCAGGCAGGGCAGGGGCAGGGACCGGGCGCGGGGAACCCGCGGGTTCTTCCCACGTCCGTCTGTCCCCGTTGTCCGCTTGTCCGTCCCTGCTCAGCGCCACGGGACGGATGCCCCCCTCTCCCCGGCAGGTACCGGCGGCCACCCCGGGGGCACCGGGCAGCACCGGCCGCCCCGACGGCTGCGGGAACTATTCCAGCGGCACCCCGGGACTGGGGGGATCCCGAGCACCGTGCCGCCGTGCCGCCGTGGGCTGCAGAACGGAGGATGGGGGGAACTGGGGCCCGGGACAGCGGGCACGGAGTGCGAGGGCCCGGAGGGTCCCGGGATGGAGTGGGGGAGGTGAGGGCCGTGGTTGCGCCCCGCCGCTGGTGGCACAGCCCCGGGCAGGGCCCTCCCAGCCGCGCCCCGGGGCCTCCCCGCGGCCGCTGACCTCAGCCCCGGGAGCCCCGACGGGGCGGAGGCCCGAGGGCGTGGACACGGCCCGGCCCGGCCGGGAACCGGGGCGGGGGAGGCGGGAGCGCCGTGCTGGAGCAGTCCCCGGGTCGGCCTTGGGTTCCTCCCGGGCCGGGGGAAGGGGTGCGGGTGGGTGCCGGTGCGAGCCCCCCACCCCCGCCGCCGTCCCGGGCTTTGTCCGTCCCTGAATTAAAGCGGTGAGCGGCGGCCCCGGGCCGTGACGGGCCAGCGGGGCTAATCCGGCCCCGCATGACTGGTCCGGGGAAACCGCGGCCGGGGGATTACCCCCCCCGGTTCCCGCCCCAACGGGGGACTCAGCTCAAGCCCCCCGGCCCGTCAGGCCCCGCGCTGGGGACTTCACACCCACCGACCACCGGCCCGGGCGGGGATGGCGGGGACAGTCTTGTCCGGGCCAGCACCAGCCCTGCGTGCCCGTGTTCTGCCCGTGGGCACGGCAGGCCGCCTCCCGCCAGCGTCCGAGCACCCCCTGCCCTTCCTTCTATCCCCCGTCCCTCAATCCCTCCACCCCCGGTCCGTCCCTACCTCCGACACCGGGTACCGGCCCAGACTGGGCGCTCGGGGGCAACGGGAGCCGTGCGGGGCCGTGCCGTACCCACGCGGGTTGTAGACACCGTGGGTGTCCGCGGGGCTCCGGGGTGCCGCCGGGACAGCCCGGGACAACCCGGGCTCGAGCGGCTGGAGGAGGCTGTAGCCCCGTCCCGCCGGGCACGGACTAGAACCGGAGAGGGCTCCGTGGGCTCCGGAGGGGCGCCCGGTAGCCTCGACGGTCCACGAGCCTGGGGACAGCACGTCGTGACACTAGGACGGTGTCCCCGGGCTTTCCCGGGACTGTTGTCCCCGTGCGCCCTGGGCTGTCACGGAGCTCTGCCTCCCCCGTGCGCCCGGGACTGTCCCGGGAGATCCCGCCACTGCTGCCCCTGTGCACCCCGCGCTGTCCCGGGACATCCCGGGCTATCCCCGTTCCCCCGTGCGCCCGGAGCCGTCCGGGGCCGTCCCGGGTTATTCCGGGAGCAGCTCCTCCTTGTGCCGGGAGCTGTCGCGGGCCGGTGCCGGTAGAACGTGCGCGCGGGACGGCGGGGAAGGCGGGGGGCGGCAGCCGGGAGCTCTGGGCACGGGGCCGGGGCGCAGCCACCCGCCGGGCTAATCCGGGCCGTGACGGACAGCCCCGGCGCCGCCGCTCCCGCCGCCCCGTAAGAGATGCCGCAGCTCCGCCGCTCCCCATTGTTAGGGCGAGGACGCGGGGAGGCCCCGCGCGGCGGGACCGGCCCACGGGGACCCTCCGCGCCGCCCCTATAAGAGGGAAGGGGCTGGAAGATGCTCCCGGGTGCTGAGCGCTGTGCACCCGCCGCGCCGAGCCGAGTCCAGCCCTGCCGGCTCCCCGGGGAGCTGCCGGTACCGACCAGCGGCGCTGGGTACCGCGCACGGACCGCCGAGAACCAGCAGCGGTACCGACACCGCGTACCGAGCGCAGAGTGCGGAGCACCGGGTCCCCAGGAGCGGCGCCGCCAACGGAGCGCCCGACGCCGCGCTCCGGGACCCGGTCAGCGGGCGCTGGGCACCGCACCCCCGACGCCGCGCCCGCCCGGCGCTCCCCGCGGCCGTCCTCGTCTCGGAGCCGCCCCGCGCGTCCGGAAACACGCGTGGATGTAGCGGCCGGGCCGGGGGCTCTGCGGCACCATAAATACCGGGACGGCCGCTCGCCCGCGCACTCTGCCGGGGCTCCCGGGGCCGGAGCCATGCGCGCCGCCGCGCTGGGGCTGGCGCTCCGGGCACTCTGGGCTCTGGCCCTCTCCTCCCTCTCCAACACGCTGGCAGTGAACAACAGCGGGCGGTGGTGGTGAGTCGGACAGCACCGGCACCGGCACTGGTACCGGCAGTGGCAGCGGGGTGGTGAGGCGGGAGGGCGGGGCTGGCACGGGCACAGCGGGGACTGCCCTGTGCGCGGGGATGGGGCGTGTGGGGGGACACAGGGCTGCGACCCCCGTTTGGGATCCCTGCAGGGGATGCTGCGGTGGCACCGAGGAGCCTGCGGGGAGGCTGAGGTGAGGAGGGAGGCGCTGGGGACCCCCCGCTAGTGGTGACCGTCCCCACCTGTGCCGCAGGGGCATCATCAACGTGGCCTCGTCCACCAACCTGCTGACAGACTCCAAGAACGTGCAGCTGGTGCTGGACCCCAGCCTGCAGCTGCTGAGCCGAAAGCAGCGCAAGCTGATCCGGCAGAACCCCGGCATCCTGCACAGCGTCAGCTCCGGCCTCCAGACTGCCATCAAGGAGTGCAAGTGGCAGTTCCGCAACCGCCGCTGGAACTGTCCCACCTCCCAGGGCCCCAACATCTTCGGCAAAATCGTCAACCGGGGTGAGGCTGGGGGTCAGCACGGGGGGTCCCCACACCTCCTCCACACACCCCCAAGTTGGGATGCTCGTCAAAACACCCCTGGTTTGTCACGGGGCGTCACCAGCCCATCGTGATGGAGGGTTGGGGGTGCCAGTGGGTACCCCCTCCCCATCCTGGCAGCACCCTGAGGCCCCGCTCCCTCCACAGGCTGCCGGGAGACAGCGTTCATCTTTGCCATCACCAGTGCCGGTGTCACGCACTCGGTGGCCCGGTCGTGCTCGGAGGGGTCCATCGAGTCCTGCACCTGTGACTACCGGCGCCGTGGCCCTGGGGGCCCTGACTGGCACTGGGGGGGCTGCAGTGACAACATCGACTTCGGTCGCCTCTTTGGGAGGGAGTTTGTGGACTCCAGTGAGAAGGGCCGGGACCTGCGTTTCCTCATGAACCTGCACAACAACGAGGCCGGGCGCATGGTGAGGGCACTGGGGGCTTGGTGAGGGCACGGGGGGGTGGGCACAGAGATGAGCACGGCCACCAAGACCTTCAGCCTGTTCCCACGTGTCTGTTGGGAACAGCTGGAGTTGAGTTTCACACTTATCTTTGGGACAAGTGATGCCCAAGAGATGTGACACTGCAGGAACGAGGGGTGTAGGAGCACGGTGGTCCCCAGGGGGGTCCCAGGCTCCTCACAGGGCCCAAAATTCCCCTTTCCTTCCAGACGGTCTTCTCGGAGATGCGCCAGGAGTGCAAGTGCCACGGCATGTCGGGCTCCTGCACTGTCCGCACCTGCTGGATGCGCCTGCCCACCTTCCGTGCCGTGGGCGACGTCCTGAAGGATCGCTTTGACGGCGCTTCCCGCGTCATCTACGGCAACAAGGGCAGCAACCGGGCGTCGCGGGTGGAGCTGCATCACCTGGAGCCCGAGAACCCGGCCCACAAGCCCCCCTCGCCCCACGACCTCGTCTACTTCGAGAAATCCCCCAATTTCTGCACCTACAGCGGGAAGATGGGCACGGCGGGCACGGCCGGGAGGTTCTGCAACAGCTCCTCGCCGGGGCTGGACGGCTGCGAGCTGCTGTGCTGCGGGCGCGGGTACCGCACGCGCACCCAGCGCGTCACCGAGCGCTGCAACTGCACCTTCCACTGGTGCTGCCACGTCAGCTGCCTCAACTGCACCAACACCCAGGTGCTGCACGAGTGCCTGTGAGCTGCACCCCGGGACCACCCTGCCCAGCCCCGGAGGGGGTCTGCGCCACACGCCCCCCATGACGGGTGCCCGGCTGGATTGAAGGCACCTATGGGTGGGGGGGTGGATGTGTCCTAGGGACCCCCATCCTGCCGTGGGTGGGCTCAGTGCCAAGCACCTTCCCGGCCACTCCCCGGCTCCACGGGGTCACTTCTTGCTGTAAATAAAATATTTATTGTGGACGGTTTGGTGCTGCCGCCCCCACCCTGCTTCGCTGGCCCCAGGCCCTGTTTTTTATAATTAAAGATAATAATAATTAATAATAATTAATAATAATAATGATGCTTTGTTACAGGTGTCATTGATAGCCTTTAGAGAAGAATAAAGAATATATTTTTATCAGTCCTGCCCTGATTTTTGTCTGGGGGGGCTGGGGGAAGGAGGGGATGAGCTGTTGGGGGGACACCAATGTACCCCAAACTGTGCTGTCCACATCCATCTGTCCATCCATCACTTCTCCATCCCCTCACCTCCCCATTCCACATCCATCAGCCTCTCCGGCTGCTCTCTGTCCATCTTCCTCCTCCTTCACTCCGCTCTCTGCCATCCCCTCCCCGCAGACCCCCTTCCTCCTCCCGCTGTGCCCGTCTCCATCGCAGCCATTCCTGCCGCCGCTCCCGGCCGGGACGTCCATCCCCACGGCTGCGGCGCCCATCACCATGGCACCTTGACTGCAGCATCTCCGATGCTGGAATTTGCCGGGGCGGTCGGGCTGGTGCCGCCGAGGCCGGGAGTTGGGAGCGGCCCCGGGAGGTACAAGACGACAGACAGGGAATGAGCATCGTCCATCACCGCTACCGGCCGGGGCTGACGGCTCCCCTCGGCTCCGGGGGAAAAGCAGGGCCGGGGGAGGGCACCGGGGTTACCGGGGCAGGGGCCAGAGGGGGCAGAGGTGGCCACTGGCCCCACAAACAGCCCTACATCCGTGCGTGACCACAAGAGAAATGTTGTGGCAAAGAGGGGGTGCAGCTCCGTGGTTGGCAGGTGTTCTGCTGGCATGGAAATCCTCCTGGGATGGGCATCTCTCTGGGACAGGCTTTCCTCGGGATGGGTATCCCTCTGGAATGGGCATCCCGTCACAATGGGCATCCTCTTGGGACAGTCCTCCCCACCGGGATGGGAATTCAGCATGCAGGACATGCCCTGAGATGGGTTTTTCCCTGGGATAAGCACCCCAAAGGGGTGGGCATATCCCCAGAAGGGGCATCCTTGGGAAGGGAATCCTTCTGGGACGGGCATCCCCCCATGATGGGCACCCTTGCGGTGGGCACAGGGTCCACACATCCCCCCTGCACCGTGACTTCACACTTGGGGACATCAAAACCTCCCTCTCTGTGTCTGGGGGACCCCCAGCCCGGTGCCCACCTGTCCCGGGGGTCCCCCCAGCCCGGGCTCCCCCCCCAGAGCCGGGAACCTCTCGGGGCCCCTGAGGCTGCGCCGCATCAAAGGCTGCGGGATGACGCTGCCACCACCCGAAATATCCCGCGGAGCCGATAGTGGAAAAGTTGATGTTTAGACTCAAAGGAGGGGGGGAAAAACACCCTGGGGGCCCCCGCTGCCCGCGCCAAGGTCAAAACACAGCCCAGCGTGGAGAATAAAATACCAAAAGGCAAGGAAAACGCCTGGAAAGGAACACAGCCCGAAATAACCCTCCGAGCATCTCCCGCCTGCCGGGTTATCTGCCTGCTAAATTCTGCTCCTGCTTCAGCATGAAAATAGCCTGTTTTCCTGCGGTAGGAGTCAGGAATATAGATAATGACATTCTTATAAGTCACCTCTGTTACTCAGCTTTTCCTGTGTGTCCTGCTGGGCACCTCGGGCAGCCGCGACCCCCGGGTGGGCAGGGGCACCCTGGGCACGGGGCACAGACCTCCCCGGCTTGGACAAATATTCCTGGGTGCTGGAAATAGCTGCTGTGGGCCAGAGCAGGGCCAGGGAGAGGCGGTGCCATCCTGCAGCAGGCTGTCACAGCTGGGAACAGCTGGATGGTGGCCACAAGCTGGGTCTGCCGAGGGCTGGGACAACCCCAGCCCTGTTCAGGGATGGGGTGCAGGGGGCTCTGCCTGGGGGTGTGGGACAGAGAGACAGGATGACACACGGAAGTGAAGGACAGAGGGACAGGGCTGCTTTCAGGACAGAGGAAAGATGTCATTCTCAGAAATGTGGGGCACTGGGACAGGACAGAGCCCAGGGGTGCAGGACAGAGGGACAGAGCCATGCCCAGGGGTGCAGGACAGTGGGATGGTGACATTCCCCGAAGTGCAGGACAGAAAAACAGGACAATGCCCAAAGTTTCTGGTCAGAGGGACAGGACGACACAGAGAGATGCAGAACAGAGCCATGCCTAGAGGTGTGGGACAGAGGGATGGTGTCATTCCCAGAATGCAGACAGAGGGACAGGACAGTGCCCAGGGGTGCAGGACAGGGGAATTGTGTCATTCCCAGAGGTGCAGGACAGGGGAATTGTGTCATTCCCAGAGGTGCAGGACAGGACAGTGCCCAGGGGTGCAGGACAGGGGAATTGTGTCATTCCCGGGGGTGCAGGACAGGACAGTGCCCAGAAAGGTGGGGCAGGAGGACTTTGTCATTTCCAGAAATGCAGAACAGAATGACAGGACAGACAGACAGACAGAGCTATGCCCACCTGCCCAGACCCTCAGGTGGCCCCATCCCACCTGCGGGACCGTCCCCATCCCCTCCCATCCCATCCCCTGTCACCATCACCAGCGGCACAGCCCCGTCCCGGCTCCCCTCGCCTCCGGTCCATGCGGACCCACGTCCCGCCAGCTCCCGGCTTGTCCGGCCGCCCCCTCCCATCCGCCGCATTCCTCCGGCGCGGGGCCAACGCGCCCAGCAACGGTGGCAGCGCTGGCCTCTAATCCCCGGGCATGCCAGCCCCGGGGGGACCGTCGCCGTCACCCACTCCCTGATAGGTGACCAATGCCCGAGACGAACAATTAGGGACAAAGCGGAGCCGCCGGGGGCTAACGCCGGCCTTCACGGGTGCCTTGTGCGGCATTCGGCGGGTTTAATGAATTGTCCATCAATCCTTTCAGCTCCGCTCGCCCGGGCTGGATTAATCTGAGAAGCCGCAGTGGGGAAGGAGCCGCTAAGCCTGTATTTATTACTCTGCCATTGTAACTAATTGAGGTAATTATCTGTGACTCCAACCCCGCGCAACAATGCCGCATTCACCGGACCCTTCCCACCGGCTCCTCGCGCGGCCTGGGAGAGCCGGCACCGCGGGCTGGGACGGGGACACGCTGGGACAGGGACACGCTGGGACAGGGACACGCTGGGGACGCTCAGGAAGGTGGCGGGGAACCAGGTGACACCGCGCTGTGGGGACACGGACAGTGCTGCTGGGGTGTGGCACGGCCAGTGCCAGCCGCACGTGTCGGGGACACCGCCAACAGCAGCGCACACACGGACACAGAGCTCTGGGGACACCATTGTCACCGGCGACACACGCAGGTCACAGCTCGCTGGGGACACCGCCAGAGCTGGCACATACATGGACGTGGCTGCTTTGGGACATTGCCAACAGCAGTGACACATGAGGCACTCTGGGGACGCCAGTCACCACCAGTGACACACGCGGGTCGCGGCTGTCTGGGGACAGCAGCAGCACACACATGGGCACAGGTCTGTGGTGACACCGCTGTCACAAGTGACACACGAGGCTCTCAGACACCAGCAGCACCCACGACACACGCGGGTCACTGGGAACACAGCCAGAGCTGGACACGCCACTGTCACCGGTGACACACGAGGGTCACCGCTCCCCGGGGTGACACGCAGGGCTGCAGTGACTCTCAGACAGCACCGGCGCGGGTGTCACACGTGGCTGACGGCTCTCTGGGGACACAGCACCGCTCCCGGGACAGGCGCGACCCCCGGAGCCCCCCGGGGCGCTCGGTCACCGGCTGCGCGGCGACATCTGGCGGCTACGGGCGACAACGCGTCCCTTTCCGGGGGCTCCGGTACCGGGAGGGACCCCCCGGTCCCACGCGTTGGCACCGCACGGGCTGAGCCCCCCCTGCCCCCGGGGGTCCCCGGGTTGCGGCGGGTCCGGGGGCCCGGCGGGTGCCCCGGGGGTGCCGGGGGAAGGCGCTGGCGCCGGGGCAGCCCGAATTAGAAGGTGATTTTCCCGGCGGGGAGCGGGTTTGGGCAGGAGCTGATCCCACGGGAAGGGCAGCGCCGCTGCCCCCGCGTCTGGGACACCCCGCGCCACGCCGGGCACCGCGCCGAGCCGGGGCATGACGCGCTGTGCTGCGCCGTGCCAGGTTATACCAGGCTGTGCCAAGCTGTGTTAGTTTGTGTCGAGCCGTGCCAGGTTATACCAACCTGTGCCAAGCCGTGCCAAATCGCAAAGAGCTGTTCTGGGTTGTTCCGGCCTTTGTGAAGCTGTGCTGTGCCAAACTGAGCCATGCCAGGCTATGCTAAGATATGCCAAGTCGTGCCCAGCTGTGCTGAGCTGTGCCAAACAGGCTGTGCCAAGCGTTCCGGGCTTTGCCGAGCCATGCTGAGCTGTGCTGTGCCGTCTCAGGTGGTATCAGGCTGTGCCAAGCTCTGCCAGGCTGCGCTGAGCTGTTCTGAGCTGTGCCTTGCCATTCAAAGCCGTGCCAAGGCTGCTGAGTTGTGCTTGGCTCTTCTGGGCTTTGCCAAGCCACGCCAGGCTGCTGTGCCAAGCCGACCCGTGCCAAGCTGTGCCAGGCTATACCAAGCTGTGCCAAGACCTGCTGGGCCATACCAAGCCACGTTCCAAACTGTGCCAGGCCGTGGCAGGCTGCATCATGCCGTGACAATCTGTGACAATCCATGACAAGGCACGTGGGTCACACCACACCGTGCCAACACTCCTGTGCCGTGCCAGGCCATGCCAAGCCGTGCCAGGTGCCACCGTACCGTGTGCAGGACCACACCTGTGCCAGGCTGAGCTGCAGTTGTCATCGTGGCTCAGGCCAGACCCAGGTGTGGCACTCCCATGCCACCTCGGCCACGCGCCAGGACAGGGGACACATGGGGTGACGTGGCCCCGGGGGTGCCCCCCCAACCTACCGGGTGGCCTTGCTGCGACAGCTGCCCCGTGCCGTGACCTCCGCGCCGGTGTCACCGGCATAATGACAGGGTCGCGCCGGGGGGCGGGGGAGGAGCCGGTTTTAAATAACGTGCAAATTGGACACGATATTTGTGCGGTTTCCTGGGGCCGCGGGGATCCTCCCCCCCCCCGCAGCGTGACTAAGAGGGGGCGGCTGTTTGGGGGGGGGGAGACAGTGGACAGTCCCCCCCACCCCGGGTGAGTCACTCGGGGTCCCCCCCCGGCCGTGACGTGGGGTCGGTGGCCGAGGGCCAGCCCTGCTGTGCTCACCTACAATTATGGGGGATACGGGGGGGGCTGGCACGTCCTGCCCGTGTTGTGACGCACTGTGGTGGCGGCCGGGACACCCGGGACCTCCGACTGACCCCGGCACCATAACGGGGGAGGGGTCCGGACACCGGGAATGTCACGGGGGCGTGCCCACACACCTTGCTGAGGAGGTGATGCCCCCTCCCCCGACCCCACACAAACAGGGGCAGAGGCGGCACACCGGCATCGCGGAGCTTTTATTGGGGTCAGCCCGTGGGAACTCCAGCCCCGAGCCCCACCCAAGCCCCTCCCCTGAGAACCACACCCCGCTAAGCCCCGCCCCATAAGCGCCACACCCATTCAAGCCCCGCCCCTCAGGCAGGGGTGGGGCTGGCGGAGCCCGGGGGGGCTCCGGTGCTCTCCAGGCTGCTGCTGCTGCTGCTGTAGGCGCGGGGGTCTCGGCAGAGCCGCTGCCGGGAGCCCCCCACGCTGCCCTCGGCATCCGAGTCCGAGTCGGGCGCCGTGTGCCGGCGGATGCGGGACACGGCCTCTCGCAGCGCCTGGGCGTACAGCACCGGCCGCCGCGGGGGGAGCCGCCCGCGGGGCCCCCCGCAGCCCCCCGGGCTCTGCCACGGGCTGCGGGGGCTGCCGGGGGGCTCCCGGGGCGGCGAGGGCGCGGCAGGAGGGCTGCCAACCCCGGGGGGCACGGAAGGGCTGCGGGGAGGGGTGCCAGGCCCCCCCAGGGATGCCCTGGCATAGCGGACCTGCTGTCGCTGCGGGGGTGGCACGTACTGGGCACGGACCACCACGCGGGTGGCGTCGATGAGGACGTGTCCCCCCGTCCCCCGCTGGCCCCTCCCGCGCCCCGGTGCCCGCT